GGTCTATTCAATCGTTTGAATTTGAATAAGACTCAACATGCCATGCTTACTTTAGTGCATTATTGAGCATTTTACTACCAATGTGTCTACATATTCTGGTACAGAACGCATTGTAAAGATAGTAAACTGTAAGTGGTTTTGTTATTAATTTCATCAGAACTATCCACCTTTAAAATAGCAACAAGATTATGATGTTCATATTCAGTTATATGGTAATTAAAATGTATCTGTAAGTAACTAAATATCAAAGTTGTTAAATTATGCATTGAGTCAAATTTGCTAAAATGGCCATTTCAATGCGTTTCACAGTATTTTGGCAATGACTGGTACCTGTAAATTAATTCAATCTTGCATGTTCACAACTTCAGGAATTTAGAAAAATTAGGGAAGTGAAAGTTTGACAGATTAGAGAAAACACAGGAATAATTTAAAATACAGAATCGCACAATATATTATTTACAAAAATTGCATTAAAAAAGCTAAGTTGTACTAATACAAATGAAAGTACAGTAGTACCACAAGAAGACAGTTAATTAGAAAATGTTGTATTTCAGCTAAAAAAAGTTATTTCATAGACACCATTTTTGCTTAATAATAATAATAATAATAGTAGTAGATTTAATTTGTCTACCTGAGAAAATGAATGCTGTGTGCTTGGACAAGTTACTTTAAAATAAGGCAGGAACATAAGTGACAAGTTCAAGACACCACAAACCGTAGTAGAATAATTTAAAAATTTGACACATGCTTTGATGCTTGCTCCTGAGTAATCTTTCGTAAAGCTTGCTTTAACAGTCAACTGAAAAATTCCAACAACTATACTGTCCAGTGTCGTATTTACACTAAATAAAAATCCATGCATCTCTTGAAATTCTAAATAAAAACACAGCAATAGACTAAGTGGTTGAAGCATCCATATTGATGTTTGGTGAATGTTTTTTTGATCCAAAGATGGTAAAATTATGATGAAAGCCATGGGTGTGATTCCAATGATGTTTTACTTCTATCTCCATAATCATACAGCAATTCTTCACCTAGTTTAAGATTTCTTTTGGCTACAAATATCAAATATGGTTTATCGTCAATAGCTATTTGTCTAGTTGTAAGATTGGCTAATGTTTTACTGTGGTTTATTAGTCTTCCCATGTAACCAGATTCAGCTGTGGCATCAACACTATAAAAATAATAAACACATCAAATTATGATTTATATTTAATGTCATTGCCTTTTAAGGAAAAACTTACATGTAACTGTATGTACAGTATATTTTGCAATAGAATTGTTCAACATTATGTTAAAATGCAAAAGGAATTAGTACTAGTTTTTAAACTACTGTAAAATATTTTATTTTAGCTGGATTTAATTTTTGCTGTAAAGGCTTTTTGGGTGTTTTGCATGGAATTTGTTTTCACAGATTTTTGATGAGTTGAATGGGAAATATAAGAAAAAAAAGTTATATTCGCTAGATTTTATTTTCACTGAATCAGTCCTTCAGGAAAATTAATTCCAAGTGAAAATAAAGCATTTTACAGTATCTTTTTAATGAAATTAATTTCATGTGACTTACCAATAAGTTTTATTATTAAACCTAAAATAATACATGTAGCACCCAACACTGGGATCTTCAGAATATATTATTTCTCTTTTCTTGGCAGTTTCTACACTGATTAAATCACCTGCATATTCAATTACAAATTCATCCTTCATGAAAGCTCTTGTTGTCACAATACCACGTCCTTTATTTTCAAATTCTTTAATCTACAATAAAAGAAAATATATTTTATTTATTGAAATGAATGATGAATAGGAATAGTAAATGTTCATGTGTCACAGACTACATACTTAGTCATGTTTAATAGAGTTTGTAACTATTACGAGATTTCAGTAAAAAATTGAATTTATGTAACCATGGAATGCTGTACAGTGTGGAAAAGGAACAAATGGGAATAACAAATGCATATGATAAATACATTTTAAATCCTTACTGCGTACTTTGCTGTATTTTTGGGTGATTTGTTGCAAATCAGAAACAAGTTTATTGCCTGAACAAAGCATGGAAATATCAAGTTATAAATACATCTGTCCTCATTTTAATTTTTGTTTACCCATCTGTTTTTACAAACTGAATATGCACATGATTAATTATTTATATAATGGTAATGCTCAGACGTGTTATAAACAATACATTAAAACGTTTGAAGCATGTGCTGTGGTGCTTTACCTGGCAAATCAAGAGAAATGGCAGGGGATTTGTGATCAAGAGTTAATCAGACAGTGATGTCACTTGCATTTGAAATGTCATAACAGGTGACTACCAAAACAATAAATGAGATGTGTTTATATTATAGCAAATAGAGATAGACATGCAGGTAATCGCACAAAACACCTCTTACAAAATTAGCCTGAATAATTCAGCAAAAATGTAAGCAGTGCCATACATGTTGGTATATTGTGGCCACTATAATAATAACAACTGCCATGACAATATTAAGATACACAGAAAAAGGATTATTTTGTAGTGTAAAAGTATTACTAACCTCTAACCCATCCTCTGACTTTGATAAAATGGCCTCTTGCAATCTCTTCTGTTTTTCGGCCTATAATAGAATAAACATCATGTAAAACCAGTTCTCAAATATGCAATATGGATGAAAATATTTTTTAATATTGTTGTTCGATACTCATACTGCAGATCAAATCAAATTTTGATTTATCATGAACTAAAAATATTAAGTATCCAGAACACAGAACAGCATTCTTTAGATAAAAAATAAAAATTTACTAGCAAGCATGTGCATTGATTGTTATTGTACACACCAAAACAATAAGTGCACATGCTTACTCAAGAATTTCATTGGTTAATAAATACTATATATATATATATATATATATATATATATATATATATATATATATTATTGACACGACACTGATGCAGAAAGGTACAGCAGTAAAATTACATGTTCCCTCACACACTAGTACTGCATCTTTAAAGCAATCATGTTTCGTCAGCTTATATATGTAAGGTGCATTGATACTAAATTCAAGATGTACCGGTAGTGCAAATTAAAAAGTAACAATAAACACTGCTGTCAGTTAAAGATTAAGAATCCTTCATCATAACATTGAGAAACTCATTACTCAAGTATTCAGCTATTCTAAAGCATTTATTCATGGAATTGTTACAGAATGAAAACATTATTATACCAGTAGCACAGTTCATAAGTAAAAGCTTTGAAGTCAGGAAGCAGGGTCTTACTTGACATCTTAATGCCTGCTGTCAATTTTGTAATTTTATATTAGATTGTATTTTAGAGATTTTGTATTATTTAGTAATTTAGTGATTGTATTTGTTATTTAGTATATTGTGTTTTTGTTTTGTTTTTTATATATATATATTTTTCCTTGTACTTTGTGACCATTTTCTTTCCCTCCAGGGATTGTGTAAGAGTCAATAAGTAAATAAATATAATCCAATTAATGGGTTCAGTAAAAAGGTAGCT